CCACCCAAACCCTCCCAAACTCTCCATAAAATGCCCCAAACTCACCCCAAAACTGCCTTAAACCACCCCAAACCCATCCAAAACGCCCCAAACTTACCCTAAAATATCCCAAACTCACCCCAAAAGTGCCCAAAACCCACCCTGAATACCCCTAACTCACTCTAAAATGCCCCAAACTCACCCCAAAACTGCCTTAAACCACCCCAAACCCACCCAAAACGCCCCAAACTTACCCTAAAATATCCCAAACTCACCCCCAAAATCATCCCAAAAGTGCCTCAAACCATCCCAAACCCACCTTAAAATATCCCAAACTCACCCCAAAACTGCCCTAAAACATTGCAATCACTCTAAGCTTTCATTAAACACCCCCACTAAGCGTTCGTTAAACACCCCCAAACCCACCCCAAAATGCCCCAAACCCACCCCAAAATGCCCCAAACCCACCCCAAAATGCTGCAGTCGCGCCGGACTTTCCTTAAATACCCCAAATCCACCCTAAACCACCCCAAACTCACCCCAAACCACCACAATTGTGTTAAACTTTGAATTAAATACCCAAAACACCCCTCAAAAAGGGGAATTTCAACCCAAAGCAGCGCAGGGTTGTTTGCAAGGACGGGGAGGGGGGGTTTTCCTGGGAATTCAGTCTTATTTGGCTTCTTTTGGGGTAAAAAAAGCAGAATTGCTGAAGGAAATGGTTACCGGTTTGTCGTCCTTCGACAGCTCGGGGCAGAGAAACGGCGGCTGCGGGTACACGAAGTCGTGGTGGACGTCGCGCAGGGAGGGGACGAAGACGAGCTGAGAGCCGGCGCTGGGGGAGAAAGAGGGGAAAAAAGAGGGGATTTGGGAGAAAAAATGAGCTGGGAGAGGGTGTGATGAGGAAAAAAGGGAAAAACCAGGGGATTTGGGGAGAAAAATGAGCTGGGAGATGGTGTGATGAGGAAAAAAGAGGGGTTTTTGGGAGAAAAATGATCTGAGAGCTGGTGTGATGAGGAAAAAAGGGAAAAACGGGATTTGGGGAGAAAAATGAGCCAAGAAACAGTGTGATGAGGAAAAAAGGGGAAAAAAGAGGGGATTTTGGGAGAAAAATGATCCGAGAGCCGGCGCTGGTGGAAAAAAAGGGAAAAACAGGGGATTCAGGGAGAAAAATGATCCAAGAGACGGTGTGATGAGGAAAAAAAGAGGGGAAAACCCAGGAGATTCAGGGATAAAAATGAGCCGAGAGCTGGTGCAATGAGAAAAAGAGGGAAAAAACAGGGGATTTGGGGACAAAAATGATCTGAGAGTTGGTGTGATGAGGAAAAAAGGGGAAAAACAGGAGATTCAGGGATAAAAATGATCCAAGAACCAGTGTGATGAGGAAAAAAGGGGAAAAACAGGGGATTTGGGGATAAAAATGATCCAAGAGTTGGTGCTGTTAGAAAAAGAGAGAAAAAACAGGGGATTTGGGGACAAAAATGAGCCAAGAGCTGGTGCTGTTAGAAAAAAAGAGGGAAAATCAGGGGATTTGGGGATAAAAATGATCCAAGAGCTGGTGCTGTCGGAAAAAAAGAGGGAAAATCAGGGGATTTGGGGATAAAAATGATCCAAGAGCCGGCGTGATGAGGAACAAAAGGGAAAAAACAGGGAATTTGGGGAGAAAAATGATCCAAGAGACAGTGTGATGAGGAAAAAAGGGAAAAAACGGGAGATTCAGGGATAAAAACGATCTGAGAGCTGGTGCTGTCGGAAAAAAGAGGGAAAAAACAGGGAAATTGGGGATAAAAATGATCCGAGAGCCAGAAAAAAGGGAAAAAACAGGAGATTCAGGGATGAAAACGATCTGAGAGCCGGTGTGATGAGAAAAAGAGGGAAAAAACAGGGGATTTGGGGATAAAAATGATCCGAGAGCCGGTGTGACGCAAAAAAGAGGGAAAAAACCAGCTGATTAATTAACAGGTGGAGCTGAGGAACATTTCAACACCCAAACCCAGCCTTTCACCTAAAAATTACAGCCAGAAACCCTCCAAAAGAACCCATTTTGGGGCATTCTAGTAGCGAGAAGACCTAAAATCTGCTGAAATCTCCCCAAAAATCCTCTCGGCTTTCGCAGGAGAGATGTTTCACCCCGGGGTGAAGGGAAAGGGGCTGCGAGGTGATGATGTTTCCTGGGGATCGAAGCCCCCGGAGGGTGTTGACCAACAATACAGGACCTCACCCCCATTTAACCTGACAAGCAAGCAAAAAAAAAAGCTTAAAAACCACTTTTTTAGCCAATTTAGTAAAAAATAATCAAGGCAAAGGTCTGGCTGCGCCAAGAGGCGGAGGCTGCGGTGGGTCAGGGGGTGTGAGGAGGCGTTTTGGGGTGATTTCCCCTCTCTGCTGCTTTTCCCTCAGAGGAATCAATGAAACCCCCCCTCATCCAGATCATATTTGGTGCCAAAAAAAAGGAGTTTTTGGGTAAAATTTAAAAACAGCTACTTGTGGAAAGTGCAGAACTCGCCGCAGCCGCCGTCCCCACCTCCTCGTCCCTTCGATGATCGTCTTCAGGCAAAGCTTGAACACGTCGGCGAAGGGTCCCAGGAGCTGACAGTTCTGGGAATTGAGGGGAAACCACGGGATTTGCACAATTCCTCCTTCTTTTAAGGTACAAAAGAGGACGCCAAGTCACCCTCAACCCCTTTCCCCAGCTTCTTTGCCTTCCCAAAATCCAAAATCATGGATCAATCAACCCAAAATCCACCAGTTTTGGGGAAAAAAACCCCACCAATCATCCCCCGCGTGGCCGCAGCTCTCTCTCACCTCCACTTGCTCGTGTTTGGCATCAAGGAACGGCCCAAACTGGGAAAAAAAGGTGAAAAATCAGAGAAAATCACAAGCAGGAACAACCCCCCCACGCTCTGTCAGCCCCAGAAAATGAGTGAAACACGTTAAACCGCCCCAAAAAAAGGGAATCTTTCAATTATTCTTATTAATTAAGCAAAATGAAGCAAATTTGATCCCGTGGCCCCAAAATGATCGGGGCAAATTGAGCTGAAAAAGGGAAACTGATAAAAACAGCACGACATTTCCGAGCGGGCTGGCGGCTGGGGACGCTCAGAGTGGGATTTCCTTTTCAAACAGCACTTTTTGGGTCATTTTGGGATAAAAAAAATGAGTGTTTTATCACTTTAAGGTAAAAAAATGAGTGTTTTGGGGTTATGCCCGAGCCAACTTTTGCCTCAGCAACACTTTTTTAGGTTGATTTTCCAGATTTTGAAACTTCAAGTGTGTTTTTTATGCTGTGGCTTCTTGTTTTATGATACTGTGAGTTTAATTAATATAAATTATTGGGTTTTTATCATCAAATCGGGGTCCCCAGCCCCTCACCAGAATGCAGACGTCGGGGCGGTCGCGGACGATCACCTCGATGAGGTCGGTGAGCGGGTCGTAGGCGATGCTGTCGGAGGTGGTGTAGGGTCCACAGGCCATCAACACCATCCTCTGCTCTGTGAGGAACAAAAATAAGGGCAGTTTGGGGATAAAAAAAGAGATTTTGGGGACAAAAAGAGAGAATTTGGGGATAAAAAGAGAGATTTTGGGGACATCAGTCACCCGTGTCTGGCAGGGAGGTTTGCAGCTACTGGTAGAGGAAGTGTTGGGGCTCACCTGGCAACGGCTCCGGCGGTGTGTGGAAAGGAAGGGGCACCCCCTAAAGAGAAATCATTAATTATCACCAAATTAAGACTTTTTCACCCCAAAACCAGCCTCGTAACAGTCAGTGAGACACCGGCAGCATCACGTTGTCACCTCATAAATCTTGGAGACCACCATGGTCCTGCCGGTGCTGTTGGTTCCTTCCAGCGCCACGATCTACGGGCGGGTGAGAAAATGGGTGTCAAGGTCAATGGTTTTTTTTTGGGGGGGCGGGGGGGGAGGAAAAATTTGGGGGGATTTCCCCAAAATCCCTGTGTCTGCCCCTGGCCAGGGAAAAGGGAATATTCCTTCAGCTCCGAGAGGTCGAGGGGGATTTGTCCCCCCGAGGAATGTTCTCGGTCACCCTCCAGGACGACAGATTTAGCGTTGAGTTTCCCGTTGCTGTCGCAACTGATTTGCCCCAAAACGGTCACCGGTTCCTGAGAGAGAATCAGCCAAAAAAAAAAAAACCAACCCCAAAATGATTGGTTTTACCCCCAAAAATGAGGTGAGACTCATAAAAAACAGGATTTGGGGTTCACCTGTGCCGGGAGCAAAACGGAAGCGAAGTCCTCCAGGTGATGGTGGCTCTTCAGGGTGTCACCGAGCTCCTCGATCCTCCAGGACAACACTAGGGAGGGAGCACGAGCGTCATCCACACCCCAAAACAACCCCCCCAAAAACGGGGGGACCATTAAAAGTTGGGGGGGGGGGTCACCTCCTGAAACCCCTTCCCCAGATGGTGGTGTCACCTTCTCGGATATCGAGCGCTTTTTGGAACATGAATTTGTAGCTTTTAATCAAATTTTCTTCTGGAGAACCAAAAAGTTTCAA